GGCAGTGGAGCGGCAGGGGGGGGTCGCAGTCTTGTGGACCAAGGACGGACGATGAGGAGGCGACGGTTACGGCGACCACCCGCATCACTCTGAAGGGGGGACAGCTCGAGCATGGGAAGCTCTACTTTGCCCATGTGGTGCCGCGTCTTTATGCCTATTCTGATCTGGTTTACGCTCTCCGGAATGATGCTGACGCTCGCAGGGCTTTCCTACTTTCTGATGAAGATGCCAAGTGGGATTTGGTATACCGACGTTTGCCATTCCTTCCCGCTTTTCGTCCTCAATTTAATTACGATGCAAAGAAAATATCGAACAATTCAATTCCTGCAAAATCTGACATTAAGAGGCGTGTTCAAACGACGAAAGGGAATGGAAACAGTCAGTGGTCAGCCATACAAAGGAGGGAGGAAAAAGGTGCAAAAGTCTGTTGTGTGCACCAAAAGCAGCAGCAACAACAACGGCCTCAAGGCCAGATAACTCTTCATCACTTTTACGAGCTACGGAGCCAGAGGGGCGTGGTCACGCGCAGTGCCGACAAGAGACACAAGCCATCGCCGATGACATAGTGTCATGGAGTTTTTACCGGCAATCCTATAGGGCTGCAGACAGTAAGGCTTCAGAACTGGGAGATTTATCGAAAGATGGTAAGATACAACCCAAGCTTGAACATTTTCACAGGAAACAATATCCCAAAGTTGTACAGGTTACAGAGCACAGGATTTATGCGAAGGTGCATGCATGTAAACAGAAGAAATATAATTCAGTGTGTGAGTCTCTCGACGGGAAGGTCCTGACATCGTGGGCGGTATGGGCCGAGACCGGGTGATAGCACCACGCACGCGTGGCCCATGCTGCGAGCTGCACCTATTGTTCCATCGCCCCCCGTAGGCAAATTCGTGTTCATGCATTGGTCCTTCGACGAAACGTTTTTGAAATTCAATCAAAAAAGAATTCTAAATAGATCCTCATACGACTTTGGAAACGAATTCTAGGTTCAGCTTGCGTCTTTGCTGAGATTCACAAAAGGCATCCCTTTCGGCCGGGCGTGCATCCCTACATAATATGCACTTCTCAAAGATGCAAGGCCAACCAAACCTCACTCCAGTGGAGCAGGAATTCGTCCGAGAAAGCCAGCGTCAAAAAAATTACGCTAGCGAGCATATACCAGGCGTGATTGAGGTAGCAAATGTGGCAGCTTTGGGGAAGCTCGTTTCGCTTCGCTTCCTGGAGTGGGTATCTGAGCACCCTGCAGGAGTTGTGTCTCTCCCGACAGGTCGCACGCCCGAGATGTTCATTGCTTACCTCAAGCACTTCCGTCAAAATTGGAAAGAGTCCAGTACCCAAGTAGAGCTAAAGCTATATGGTTTGGGCGGTCTGGCCTGCTTCCCTGACACGTCACAGCTCAAGTTCGTTCAGCTTGACGAGTTCTTCCCAATGCACCCTGACCACAAGACCTCGTTCACGCACTACGTCCGCAACCTCTACTTCCCTTTGCTAGATTTAAAACCTGAAAATATATTGACGATGGATTTCGTCAGCGCTGGAGTCCTTCCAGACGACCACAATGCATGCGCCTCGATTTTCGAGAATGGCATTGTCAATGTCGATTTGTTGAGACCCGCGATGGCCGATGAAGAAGTAGAGAAAAGAGACGAAGACAGGAATGACCGATGGAATGCCGCCACAGATGACAAAGCGGTAAAGGACAAAAAGTACGATGTTCAAGTCGCCATACTAGCCAAAGCCCATTCTTTCGCGAAGAAATACGAAGCTCAGGTTCGGGCTTGGGGTGGGATTGGGTTTTGGGTGGGGGGAATCGGGCCAGACGGCCACATAGCCTTCAATATGCCGGGATCATCACACAACAGTCAGACCAGGATCGTGACACTAAATTACCCTACTGCCGCAGCCGCTTCCGGCGATCTAGGTGGCATTGAGTTCTCGCGCCACAAAGCCGCTCTTACTATCGGGCTGGACACCATCACTTTCAATAAGGATGCGGCCCTAATTGTCATGGCCGCCGGAGAAGGCAAGGCCCGCGTGGTAGCTGAGGCCATTGAGAGCCAGCCATCCACGGAGATCCCAGCCACGTGCCTACAATCCCATCCGGGTGCGCGTTTCTATGTTTCCTCAGGGGCAGCAAGCCTTTTGAAGGAGCGTCGCACCGAGACCCTTCATCGAAAGATCATGGAGCGGTCGTTGCTGGACACAGATGTCGATTCAACTTTAGTAGACCTTGCCTTGCGGCTGAACAAGCGGCTCGTAGATCTGAGCGAGGAGGACGTTGGGCAAGATTCCCGTGGCGCCTTGTTGCTGAGGCCATCGACAAGGAAAGGACCGCACGCCTCGCTTCAGACTCTCGTAGAAGGAACAGTCCGCCGCCTTGAAGGCAAAATTTCGCGCGGTACGGTTCTGGCGCGAGGGCGGCGAATCCTACACACCGCCCCGCACCACGACGACATCATGCTCTCCTACCACGCGGCACTCCCCGACCTGATGGCCACCAACACTCACCGATTCGCCTACCTGACGTCCGGGTTCCACGCCGTGACCAACGGCTACATGCTTTCCATACTCCGACCTCCCCACGAGGACGCCGCTTTCCTCCGTGAGAGAGCCAGCCTCATCTTCGAGACTCCCTACCCTCGGGTCGTGGAGGCCTTTGTGGCTGCACACCGGGAGCGGAACACTTGCTTGGAGGCCGAGCTGGAATCCGTGCTGTGCCTTCGACAGATGTCTGCCATCTGGGAGGTGACAAAAGTCGAGGCCCTGCAGCAAGAAGTCGCCGGAGTGGTCGCCTTCTTGACCCAGCAGCTCCCGGGGGACAAGAGCCCCGTCAAAATTCAGCTTCTCAAGGGCGCTATGCGCGAGACCGAGGCTGACCGCATGTGGGCATTGCGAGGCGTTGATCCCTCCCAGGTCAAACACCTCCGCTCCGCCTTCTACACTGACGACTTCTTTACCCCGCTACCAACCATTGAGGAGGACGCCATGCCGATGGTGAGGATGCTGGAAGACTTCAAGCCGGACGTCGTCACAGTCGCCTTCGACCCCGAGGGAACGGGGCCAGACACGCACTACAAAGTCCTTCAAGTAGTCGCACAGGCGACACGCATGTACGAAAGCGCGGATGAAATGGAATCGGTCGCGCGTAGCCCGTCGGGCCTGACCGTCTGGGGGTATCGTAATGTCTGGTTTCGATTCCACATGGCGGAGGCCACCGTGATGGCTCCTGTCAACGACGCAGGTCTAGCAGAGATGAATGACGCGTTTCTCACATGCTTCTCCACCCAGAAATCTGCCTCCTTTCCGGCCCCGGACTACGACGGGCCGTTCTCGCATTGGTCCGAGGCGTCTCAGCGGGCACAACGGCAGCAGCTAGGCGTGGTCTTGGGGGAGGACTTTTTTGTCACTCACCCCGACGCAAGTGTGCGGGCTTCCAGCGGATACGTCTTCCTGAAGGAAATGGATCGCGACGCCTTTTCCAAGACGGCTACGCAACTCCGTGGGCGCATGGAATCTGACAGGGGCATGTGAGGGTGGGAAGGAGTCGGGGAGGGTCCTGGCAGAGCGGCGTCCTCATGATGTGTTGGAGACCTGGAGAGTCGAGAGCTTCCTCGTCACCTGGTTGTCATGTGTGTATAGGTTAAGGGGGCCCACTCAAAGCCATAAAGACGAACACAAACACTAATCTCAACAAAGTCTACTAGCATGCCGTCTGTCCATCTTTATTTCCTTTACCACCGCTTATGGGAAAGGCACTCTTGCTTCCAGGCCTCCATGTCGATCGGGTGAGTCTCGGGGCTTGCTTCCGCGTCCTCTTTCCAGATTTTGACCGTCTTGTCTGCCTCGCACGTTAAAAAGCGGGTCCCGCTCATATCGAAAGCCGAAGCATAGATCCCTGCCTCGCAGTCCAAGGAGCCCGGTTGCACAATCGTCTCCAGCCTCTGAAAGCAATATCCAGTCTGGTAGTCCCAAAAACGAAGGCTTCCATTATCCCCGCATGAGACCAGTACATTGTCCTCATTTATGGCCAGCGTGTTGATGACGGCATTGTGACCACTCAGGTTCTTCAAGAACTTCCCGTCGCGGACTTGCCATTTTTTCAGGTTGTCTTGGGCACCGGAGACGAATGAGAGCTCCTTCGGGTGCACCTTCAGGTCGCGCACAGCTTTTTTGTGGTTCGTGAGGGTAGCCATCGACTTGCCAGCAACGATATCCCAGAGCTTGATCGTGGAATCGTAGGAGCCAGTGATGATCTGCGGGTCCACGGAATTGGTGGCGAGGGCCCCGACTGTGTTGGTGTGCCCGCCCAGCACGTGCACCTGCATCTTGGTGCGCATGTCCCACACGCGTGCCACAGAGTCCCGCCCGCCCGTGACAAGGACATCGAGTGTCGGGTGCAGCGCCAGGCTGTAGACGCCTGAGAGGTGGCCGTGGTAGTGGCGGATGACTTTGTTCTGCTCTAGGTCCCAGCACTTGACGGTCTTATCCTCGGCCACGGAGAACAAATAGGGGTGTCTGTTTGATACCGCCAAGGCGCGCACGGCCGAAATGTGGCCCGTTAAGGTCAGGCGCAAGCCCCCCTCCGCCCCCGCCGCGCACTTGGCCAGATCCCAGACTTTGATGGTTCGATCCGCTGAGCCCGTCACGAACCACTCGTTCGCCGGGTCGAAGGCCACCGCCCGCACCCACCCCAAGTGACCCGCCACCACCGCATGCAGCTTCCACGGCGCGTGCCATGTAGGCGTCGGGACCTTTGCGGGGGTGCGGTGCAAAGCCAGAGCCGAGGAGTTGCCGATGCCGGCGGCTGCTGCGGCCGCTGCGCCTGGGGGAGTTCTCCCGTCCCGCTTGTTCGACCTACTTACCATGGCTCCCCCTGCATCATTCCCTTTGTAAGCCACCACAGCGCCTCTGCTGGCTGCGCGCGAGCCGCCATATTTCCCTCTGTATTGTCGAAGCTCCCTCTCGGCTTCTTCGTTTCGCAGAGAATTGAGGATATTTAGTGTATCGGTGGCTTCCCCCTTGGCTTTGCCTTGCCCAGCAAGCACGCTCGGACCTCTGTGCCGCGTTTCTTCATTTCCTGGGGCAGATGTGGCTTCGCTTTCCTGCTTTGTCGATGATGTATGTACAGTGGGCGAGCTGCAAGGAATTTTGTACTCCTGATCGACCTTGACTGCCACTTTCAGTTTTTGCGCCGGGAGGAATGGCGGGGTTGTTCCACTCGTCATTTCTGCTGTGTATAGGTCGCAGGTACGCTTCCTGTTACCGAGAATCATGTCCGCTAAAGAGGTAGTCATGATACTCAAGAGCCTGGAGGAGGGGTGCGAGAGCATGAGAGAGGACGGGTGGGGTAGGAGGCTTCGCCCCATCTAGACATGGTTCACAGACATGCCAGCTCCCGCGCCCTTTAAGCGCATGCTATGGTTCTCAATGTAGCCCATACATGCTTTGCCCACAATCTCTTCCTGGGAACGAGGTTGGAATAAAAGCATTTTCCCTACTTGCGAGGGCATCGGGCCCTGCGCCGGCGGCGGCGGAAGAAGGCGATTATATTGCTCTATCGCGCTTACAGGACATGCCTGACGCAATTGTGGTACCACGTCCTTGACCCACGAGTGGTGACTTTTCCATGAATTGTAACGAACAGGTTGACTGCGCCGGTCTTCATTCGTATTCCAGTGCAGCACGGACCAGGTCTGGACGTCGTGGATAGATCCAGGAGATCCAGCCGCCTCGTAGCAGTTTGTCTGCACAAATGCACAAACCCACTACCGCTGGAACACCGCCTGTCCTAGTACCGCCTACCAAGGCGAATGTGTTAGCGGCGGGCGGTCCGAGTGGTAACACAAGCATCAATGCAACCTCCTCTGTGCCGCCGCCTGCTGTGTATACGATTCCTCCGTCCCCGGCTGCGCAGAGCTCCGCTTCCTCCCTTCCCTCAGATGCCTCTCCTAGGAAGCAACACCCGCATCTGCAGGCACAGTACCACACGCAACTCTCACACCAGCAGCAACAGCAGCAACAGCAGCAACATCACGCACTGCATCACCACCAACAAGGCTATCAAGGGAGCGGAACCCGAGGGTTCGTGGACTTGCTGCGCTCGTTGGGCCACTTGACGCTCAACAACGCGTCTGAGATCCGGGAGGAGCTACGGCATTTGCGCCGGCGCCGTGGCAAGCAAGAGGAGGCTGTGATGTTGTCCGAACTGGCGGCGCTGGCGTCTTGCCTGAACGAGTTGGTCATGTCCATGGTGACAAGTAGCAGCAGCAACAGCAGTGGGCCCGGTGGCAGTGGCTCGGGTTCTACGGAAGAGGGTGGAGGAGAAGGTGACAGCAGCAGCAAAGCCGGGGGCGGGGCGGTGGCTGTGGAGCCCTCTCGACGGGCGCTGGCAGGCCTCTTCTCCTACGAGGGTCTTATGCCCCCCATCCCTCACCCGGCGGTGCCCGCCCCCTCCACCGCCCTCGGCGACGCGGCCTTGCTGCACTATTGCTTCGACTTTCTGGTCGAGGGTCGGCTCCAGTATCGAAAACAGCTGGGAGACCTGGCTCTGGTCTGTCGGCAGTGGCGGGACCTGGCGCAGGCCGACAGGTTTTGGAAGCCCGTCGTCCTGCAGCTCTTCCCCCGCCTCTCCCCCGCCCTGGCGGACCACGACGAGGAGGACGGGGCCTCGGGGCCGGATCCAGACGCGGCGGCGCTTACGGAGGCCGCGGTGGACGGGGCGGGGGCGGGGGCAAGTTCCGAGCCGTCCACTTCTCCGGGCGGGCGGGCAGGCTGGCACCGGAAGTACTTGATCCAGTTCGGTCGCTGCTTGTTCGACCGGCCCATCCGCCAAGGGCCCTGGCACGAGGGTATCACTCTCTCCTTCGACCTACACGACGAGCAGGACGGCACCCGCCTCTTCTCCTCGACAGGGCCCATCCGCTTCACGGGCACCACCATCCCGGGCATGTGAGTCACAAGGGGGGAGGACAAGGGGGGAGGGCTCCGCTAGTTGGGCGTGGCGGTCTCATCGTGTCTTGTCTTTTCCTTCCCCGCGCAGCACGGCCATGAAGCTGACAGGCCGCCGCCGCCGGGTCACGGCCCCCTTCTCCGCCGCATCCCGGGACCGCGGCCTCGGGAACCTTTCCTCCATCGAGGAGCTTTTCCAGGAGGGCGACTCCCGCGATTACCCCGTGTCCTTCACCATCCGGGTCACCGCCCGCGACGAGCGCACGGGCAAGATGGCTCTTCTTTTCTCCTCGGCCAAGCGGACGAAGCGGTGGGTGGAGCCGCTGGGCGAGGACATGGGCGTTCCGCAGGGCACGCTCCTTGTCAACCAGGGGTGGTCGCGCGTCACGATCCCGTCCACGGACCTGGCCATGCAGATGCTGACGGTATTCTACGTGGCGCCCGTGGAGGGACAGCCGGAGACCATTAGCGCGGCGGAACGGCTGTACTCGGTGCTGACGCTGGACTGCGCCTTTATGCTCCAGTGCAAGACAGAGGTGGGTAGGGAGGCAAAAAAAGCAGGGCGGGGATTGGATAGGAAGCTGTCAGGCGTGAGATGTCAGAGAAACGCTTTCGTCCAGGGCTCATTTTTCTTTTCTTCTTTCTCTCATCTTGCACGGCAGGATCAAGAGCAGATCGGACGCTTCATCCTGGCCGCCTTGGAGAATGGGCCGGGCGTGGAACGGGATGGCTGACGGGCTAGGTCGGAAAGTGGTGGATGGAGGGAGGGAGAGGAAGCAACGGTGATATCCTGAATGCCCGGTCAAACTTGAATCAGAGGGCTGTTTGATGCGGAAGAATGGTGTGAAAGGAGGATAGAGGGGTTTTCCACCTCAGGAAAGCCTGAGTGGGGGAAACCCTCTCGCTATTTCTATGTGGATAGAGCGATTGAGAGAAGATAGGTGAGAATCCGAGTGGACAGGGTGGGTGTCACCATAGAGCGGGAGGGGAAAAGTCTCAATCGCGGCCGTCGTGCAAGTCTCCTTTACCAACATGTGGAGTGGCACCTTCCGTGGGGCGTAAGGAGGGCGTGGCAAGGGTGTATTGCCATGACAAGCCGACGCGAAGGGGAAGTAAGGACGTCGACAGCCACGCTTGGCCAGTGTTTGATCAACGAGTTTTCTTCTTTTGCCGCACTGATATTTCCCATGTCTACAAGCACTGCCGCCGAATCCAGTCGTAGTCGGGGAGGTTTGCCACGGGGCCGATGGCCGCCAGGGCGTGGTCCTCGTCCACGATGTAAGCCATGGCCGTGGCCTTAACATCCTCCGCCTGGACGGCGTCGATGCGGGCGAAGATCTCGGCGGGCGTCATTCGCCGCCCGTAGGTCAGCATCTGCCGGCCGATGTCCTCGCACACGTGTGCAAAGGAGTCAAGCTGCATCAGCAGTGTGCACTTGAGCTGCGTCTTGGCCTTCTCCACCTCCGCGGGAGTGACGTCGTGCGCCATCCGTACAAGGTGCTCCGTCATCGCCCCCGAGAAGTCCCTGAGCTTCTCCGGCGGCACCACGGCATAGAGCCCGAACAGGCCCATGTCCTTGTAGCACGTGTTGAAGGTCACGTAGGAATGACAGAGCTCTCTCTCCATCACAGCCTGCCCTAGCCGCCCGGTCATCTGCCGGCTCGCCCCACTCGACCGGTCCCAGCACCCCATAATGGTCTGCAGCACCATGAGCGGAAACGCGAATTCCGACGTCCAGGCTGCGCCTCTGAAGGCCAGTGCCACATGCGCCTCGCTCTCTTCCTCCGAGTGCACTCGCTTGTCACTGCCGACAAAAACCGCCGCCTCCATTCCCGTATCTGCTCCGGGGGGCGCCTGGCGCGGCAAGTTTCCGAAGTATTTATCCGCCAGCTCCACCAGCCGGCCGTGCTCGATGGCCCCCGCCCCCGCTATCACCATTCGCGGAGCCGTGTAGTGTGTGCGGATGTAGTCTTTCAATGCCTCTCTGTGCAGGCTTTTCACGTTCTCCTCCGGCCCCAGAATGGTCCGCCCAAGGCCAGTGCCTTGAAAAGCCGTCTCGTGCAAGTAGTCCAGGATGACCTCCTCTTTCTGCTTGTTCACTTCCTCCATCTCTCGGAGGATTACGTCGCGCTCCCGCATCACGGCACGTTCGTCAAACACCGAGTGCTGCAAAATGTCACTGAGGATGTCCATGGCGCGCTCCACATCTCCTCGGAATACCTTGGCATAGTAGACTGTTTGTTCCCGCGAAGTGTACGCATTCAAGTGTCCCCCCATGTTTTCTATCTCAACCTCTATGTCATACTGAGCACGTCGTTGTGTGCCCTTGAATGCCATGTGTTCCAAGAAATGTGCGGCGCCATTATTCAGCGCAGTCTCATACCGGCTTCCCGCGTCTATCCAAACACCCACTGTTGCTGTCTCACCATGCGAGGTCTGCATTTGTTGGTTGTTCCGGATTGAATTTCCGTGTTAAAAAAGAAATCGATACATTGTTCCATGTTTGAGTCTGTACGACTGACAAAGAAATTTTCATGACACTGTTTCCGAGTTCGCATATTACCTCTGATGCAACGCGCAATCCGCTTGATAGCTTTGTCACCTCCGTCGCGGGAGTATTCACCTCCAAGCTCCTCCCTTTGTATGCCGATAAGAACCTTTCACCCTAGATACGAGTGTGCGAAAAGGAACATATCATTTCGTCGTGAAAATTACTTGATGGCCTCGGTAGATAGATAGATACTTCGCATACCTTGATGCCGGGTCCCGGCAAGACGAGGGATGATGACGCTGCACTCCGCCGACGCGAGAGCATCTGGAGGACATTCTTACTGCACTTCATTTACTCAGTAGCGCAGGACGTCTCCCTGTGCGTGGGGGCGTGTGCTGCAGGTGAGAGTGCGACGGGACGGCATGAGATGGGGCACCTAACTACGAACTTGGGGGCGCAGCGTGTGATGGAAAGCAACCCCTCGGGTGACGGCCCTCTCAGAATAGTTGTATTGACTCCCTTCCTCGTATGTGCGATCCCACCGCTGTCAAAGCCCCGTATTCGTTGCCCGAGATGTGTGTTATTTGCCAAAATGTAGGGATTGTAGGCCCTTCCTAACCAATCGCCATGTTTTATATGAAAGGTTGTGCGGTTCTTTTCATCCTACGAGAACGTGCATCTCTTCGCCTCGTCACCTTTGCTCCAATTCGAGTACAACCAAAAATCAAGCAGTCGTCGTTATCTGAAAAGCATGGCGGTGCGTGAGCCTGAGCCGTATGATCACCTCTTCAAGCTCTTGCTGATAGGAGACGCGGGCGTGGGGAAATCAAGGTAGGCAGCGGAATCCCATGACTGGCAGTGTTCGATGTGCGCCCCTACAGGTCAAGGAGGCAAAAGCGTCTCAGCATCTATTCCAATGCAGCATGTATCTTTTCAGAAAAATCTTCTGTCTGTCTCATTTTTTATAATACTCACACCCAAGCATTTTGCTGAGATTTACCGATGACGCGTTCGACGACCATCAGCAGTCCACCATTGGGGTTGATTTCAAAGTCAAGATGATCGAAGTGGATCACAAGAGAATCAAGATGACAATTTGGGATACAGCTGGACAAGAACGTTTCCGTACTCTGACAAGCTCGTATTACCGAGGGGCGCAGGGCATCATTCTCGGTAAGTTCTGCGGAGGACACAGGAAAATGGGCATTTTCAGCCTGTTGCCCGCGCCGTGGACCCGAGCCTTGTTTGAGATGGACTTATTTCGTTTGCATTTCTTTTTTGTCTCAGTATATGATGTGAATCGGCGGGAGTCCTTCGAAAACCTGAATCACTGGCTTCAGGAGGTGGAGGTTTACAGCACCGGAGGCGGGCGGGAGATCGTCAAGGTCTTGGTGGGTAACAAGGTCGACAAGGAACGCATGGTGCCCAGGGAGGAGGCCGAGGCATGGGCTCGTAGCAAGGGAATGCTCTTTTTGGAGGCGAGCGCCAAGACACGGACCGGGATTAGGCAGGTCTTCCTAGAGGTCGTACAGAAGATATTGGACAACCCCTCCCTACTCACAAACACCGCCCCCGGACGGCCACGCGTCAATCTGCAGGCCGATGCGGCCGCCAAGGGGTCTGGGGGCTACTGCTGCTGAAGATAGTCGGGAGTATGCCTTGAGAGTGCGTAAAGGGTGGAGGATCTCGACTGGACAAGGGGTAGAGGCCGACTAGGAGTGGCAGCAGAGCTACTTCGAAATCCTCGCGGCCCGTCAATTTTGTGTTTGTTTTATACATAAATTCGTTTCCAGACCTGCCGTGGCACTTTTCTCCTCCACACCTCCATTCCCTCGCCAGTCATAGGCATCCGTGGCATCGTCGCCCTTTCCCTATCGACTAGCTTGACCTCCGTCTCCCCCAACAAAGGAGTCTGACAAGAAATGTACAGAGATTACCTGAAGGCCCGAGCTCGCCTGAGACAGTCGGGCTGCTCCGGATCAAAAATAAGTAGATACGATGGGATGTGAGGAGCATGTTGTGTGACATGAGAAGAGCACAGCATAGCGAGAGCCGCGCAGACATGTCAGATCGATTCTACCAGTATTTGAGTGAGACAGAATCGGTATACGGATGTAAAATGTTGGCAAGAGATATGAGGCCCTTATTTAATGCGAGAAGGATATCGGAAAACCGTCAGAGGATAAAGTAGTGCAAGCGAGTCCGTTAGACACGGACTGGCCATCACCGTCGTGGCTCTCTGCTTAGTTTATTGCCTTCTCTATCTTGCTTGGGAGCAGTTGATGACATAATAAATGAGATCCTTCTCCGATTCTTTGTCTCACGCCTCTATCCATACAAAGAGCCGCCACTCCACGTCTCCTTTTCTCCCTTCAATGCCCGCCACCGCGAACCACGCAGCTCCAGGCTCCTCCCCCGCATATCTATGGATACTTTACTTTTCAATTTTTTTCTTACTACTCTCCCACCCCTCTGTTTTTTCCATACCCTGCAGTCTTGTCGCCAAAATCTTTGAATGCACCGGCTTATTTCCTTTGCCGCTCTCCTAGAGCTCTGATCTTCCGGACGTAATCCTCCTTCTCCACGCAGCCCACACACTCGTCCCCTTGCTCTTGCAGCAAGGCCCTCAGCTTCGCAACACGCATGGCGGAAAAATCCTGCTCTAAGTCGATGATAGGCTCTGTATGTGGCAGAAAAACAAGCAAGTGAGACATGGCAGGAGGAGCGTGCAGGATTGCCGAGGAATATTCCGAACAGACCGGGGAAAATGCTCCACAATATACACGGTAGTCGCTCGACCATGCCCTCGAATCCCTACCCCCCCGAAGAGCCGGTTCGAATCCTTGCACATACTTTTCCTGGGAGCCGAGCGCTTCCCTTTTCTGGCTGCCTCCAAGCATGCCTTCCTGTCCGCGAGCCCTGTCGCCCATTCCTTCAACGTCTTCACATCCTTCCCAATACCGCCCCTCCCATTCCCATACTCCACTACCGCGCTTGCCTCCTCTCCTCCGCAGAAAAAGAGCAGCGTGGGGTACTTGCCGACGCCGAAGTGGTCCGAGACCTGCAAGTTGGAAGCCCGCACCTCCCCAAAGGCGAGCTTGTCCCTCAGCTGGTAAGCGAGCCCTTTGTAGAGGAGAGGCGTTTCGTACTCGTCCGTGAACAGGACCATGGCCCCTGCCTTCTTCCCAGCCACCACAGCCTTGAAGAAATCCGAGGCGGCCGCCGTCCGCCGAATGTTCGCGATGGGCGCCGGGTAGTTCTCTGTGACGAAGTCGAGCATGGACTTCGTCTCCACGGACCCCTCGTAGTCGATCGCTTTGCCCTCCAGGATGAGCTTGAAAGAGGGCAGGCTCTGGACCCCGTGCTTGGCGCAGAGCGAATTGTCCGCGTCGCAGCTCACGCCCCCGACCTTGACGATCCCCTCGAGCTTCCCGGCCACCGCCTCCACGGCGGGAACCGCGTTCTGGCAGTGCGGGCAGTTGACAGAGTAGAACTCGATAAACCAAACAAACTTGGCCTTTGCGTCAGGAAATTTGGACGCGCTCAAGCGTACGACCTTCGACTTTCCATTGAGGCCCCCGTAGAGGTGCTGCGACCGCGCTCCGTCAAGCTGCATCAGCAGTGTGCACTTGAGCTGCGTCTTGG